GCTGTTTGTAACTCTCAACTCTTTCAGCTTCTGGAACAAGTTTGTGTGAGCCACAGTCAAGGAGCCACCAGAGGACACCTGCTGACCATCGGCATTATGGGTAGTGTAGGAGGAGACACTCACCTGACATGAAATAGTGCCGGAAATGAAATAAAAGACCTCCAGAAACCACAAGAACCACCAGGAGAACCAAGAGAACCAGGAGAACTACAGTCCAGAATGGAAACTGTTCTGTGGACAAACACAATGAACAGCATGACCTTGCAGCTCTGACTGAATCAAAAATAATGAATTAAATGAAGAGGCCCACATTTCAACCAAAGAGCCACCATGGTTATTCTGAAATGTTAAAATGAATTTTCATCTTAGTGATGTCAGATGTATCTACAACATGTAATTATTGCTGACCTTTGACCTGCAGCACTACTTTCTGTCTCAGGATGTCTTCGTCCCTGTAGATGGTGCAGATGTATCCTCCTGTGTCCCAGTCTTTGGGGTATTTCAGGGTCAGACTGAGGTCTCCAGTTCTCAGCAGGTCTTTGTTCATCTTTGTTCGATCTCTGTAAAGGTTGTCCTGTTTTTTAAGGAGGTTGCTTCTGTTTGGATACACATGGACCATCATGAGTTCTCGGTCAGAGCGAGTCCACTCCACTCTTGTGTCCTCAGGCAGGTCAGGTTTTGTTTTGCAGGGCAGGAGAACAGACTCTGAGCCTTCCTCCACCCCCACCTCCACCTGCTGGTCTGAGAGGACAGTAAAACATGATATAATAATACTGTAGAAGCAGCAGCAGTTGTCATGGAATTAGCTCTGTGCAGGCAGACAATAGAGGACCCAAACACACACTCAAACACAAAAGGTAATTCAAAATCCTCAGCTTTATTGCTGGCAGGGAAAACAATAAGATAAGATAAGATAAGATAAGATAAGATAACCTTTATTAATCCCACGCGTGGGAAATTTGCTGGGTTAGGCTGCCGACCTCTGCCAGCACCATCTCACCCTTCCGACCATACATACATTACACAAACATCACATGGGGAAGACAGGTCAGAGAGGTATAAAAATGGAAAATGCACAACATGAGGAAAGACGAAGAGAAAAATTACCTCCCCCCAGACTGAGCTCGAACAGGGAGATCAGTTTGAGAACAGAAAAAACCCCCACCTCAGCACATCTCACAACATAGAAGACATACGCTTCGAAGGCGTTTGGAGGGGGTGGGGGGGTGAGTGTAGGTCTGTGTCAGTGTGTATTTGTGCGTGTTCTGTGTTCAGCTGAGAGAAAGTGTCCCTTCACCCAGTTAGGCAAAAGTCAACAATCTTCGGTCGACACGGCCTTGAATGAGGAGGGAGAAAGTCACACCTCAGTCTTTTTATCTAAGGGAGAATTGTTAGTCTCGTTGCCTTGAGCATCCAGCTGATGCCAGGGGGGGCGCATGAGATGAAGATGGTAGTTGTTTTGGTTAGTGCGAACAAACTACATCCAATTTTACAGTTGGTCTAATGTCCGTCATGGGTCACCAGGTCTCTCAATTCCCGTTGTTCTTCTTCAAGATGTTATCAATATAGCAGAGCCATGAGCTTCTCCAAGATCTACAAAACTATATACAAATATACAAAACTATACAGGGGCATGATAAACTGAGTCATGAGGAAACACAGAGAAAACCCCAAAGCTCCAGGGATGAGACACTGATGACGTGACACTAAGCACGGGGAGCACAGGGCTTAAATACAAAAGGCAACAACAAGGAAATGAGACACATGAAGGGAGCACGACTGGGCCTAAGTAACGTGATGAGACAGGAGGCATAAACCTTCAAAGTAAAACTAGAAACGGACAAACTGAACTTACAGACTCGGAGGAAACACAGAGGCATGGGACCAGGGCAGGCACAGAGACAAAGAACAGGAGCTCAAAATACAACCAAAACCGAATCCTAAAAACCACAAGTCACTGAGTCACAGACTCAGGACCATGACAGCATTAAAATGATGGAAATCATAGTGATGACACGCATGTTTCTTTCTTTTGATTCTGTCCTACTAGCAGAGATAAAGTATAACAATATTCATTGGCTTTTTTTGTTTTGAATAACTAAACTGAGGGGTTAATATAAATATACAGTACAGCAGAATAGAATAGAATAGAATAGAGTTCAACTTTATTGTCATTGCACATGCACAGGTACAGGGCAACGAAATGCAGTTTGCATCCATCCAGAAGTGCTTTAGTGATAT